CTGTTGGCCCCACATATATGCCATAGCACCCAACTTCTGGCAGCGGCTAACGGTCCTGGGGTGCATGCCGTGGATCTCGCCCATGGCAGTCAATGAGAACTTCTTCGCAAAAGCTGCCTCCATCATCTCGGACGTGGCATGCAGACATCTGCCGCCCCCCTTCTTTTGAACGACAATCTTCAAGCCAGAATATCTCAACGCATTGCCAGTTTTGAGGGGGTCCCTCGGCCGGCGCTTCTTGTTCGCAGTCTTGGTGAGTCTCACGCGGACCCCTCGGCCTCCCTTGCCTTTCAGCTTGATCCCCGATGCTTCTAGGAACGCTGCTAGCTGACCTGCTTGCTGCTCGCTGTGGCTGTGCATCTGCTTGCTCATCTTGGCGTGCAGCATCTTGCGGCTCAGCAGCTGCCGCTCCTCCTTGCTTCCATGCCGACCTCCCCCCGCGCCTCCTCCTGCTGCGGCGCGCGCCGCTGGCCTGCGCTTCGGCTGGGCGGCCTGGGCAGGCACCAGCTGCTGCTGCACTGGCTGCTGCTGCGTAGGACCGCCTGGGCGCTGGGCGGAATAAAAAATACCCCCCTCCCCCCTCCCCCCTCCCCCATCCCCCCCCCCCCCTCTTCCCGCTTCCTTCTTCCTTCTTCCCCGGGTGGGCGGAGGGAGGAGGGAGGGGGGAGGGTGCAGGGGGAAAGCATCTGGCCTTGGGCGCGGATGATCCCTCCGAGCACGTCGGCGCCGTCGTCATCGGACGACGGCGCCGACCCCGGCATGGCCGCCAGCCGCCAGCCGCAGCGCGCGGCGCGAAGGGCCGAACGCCCTGGGCCCAAGGAGGAGGAAGAAGGAAGAGGAGAGAGGGAAGAGCAGGAGCCTCCTCCTCCTCAGCATTCAGCACTCAGCACTCAGCATCCAGCATCCTCTATCCTCCTCCCTCCTCCTCCCTTCCTCCCTCCTCCTCTTCTTCCCGCATCCCCCCTCCCTCCTCTTCAATTTTCTCTTCGTCCTCTCAGCTCTCAGCGTTCTCTTCATCATCCTTCATCCTTCATCATTCATCCTCTCATCCTCTCAGACTTCTCATTTCTCATTGCTCATTTCTCTTCCTCATCTCTCATCTCCTCCTCCTCCTCCTTCCTCCTCGCTCCTCGTCCCCCTCCTTCTCCTTCTCCTTCCTCCTCCTCCTCCCTCCCCCCATCCACCCTCCATGATCCTTCCCCCAGCGGCGCGCGCGGCGCGCGGCGCGCGCGCGCCCGCCTCGAAGTTGAAGACGTCGGCCGGGCGGCGCGACGAATGACGACGGCGACGACGACGACGACCGACGACGACGACCCCCGCGTCGACGCCGACGCCGACTCTGACGACGACGACAACCGACGACGACGACACCCGCGTCGACGCCGACGCTGACGACGACGAAGGGGAGAGGGAGCGGACAGCGGACAACAACCAAGCGAGGGAGGAGAGCAGCATGGTGGCGAAGGACCCAGTCATAGCCTGGCGAAGAACCCAACCATAGCCTGGCGAAGGACCTAGCCATAGGCCGTAGCCCATAGCCCATAGCCTGGCGAAGGACCCAGGGGAGGAGACTGCGGAGCGCGGAGGAGGCGGAGAGGAGAGAGGAGAGGAAAGGAGGAGAGAGGAGAGAGGAGGAGAGGCAGAGGATCAGAGGATGACGGATGAGAGGAGGAAGGAGGATGGAGGATGGAGGAAGTCAATCGTTCAGAGTATAGAGGATGCCCTGCGACTTGCGAATGGACGGAGGACGGAGGGCGGAGGGCGGAGGAAGAGGACGAGAGGACGATATTGGCGATTTTTCTTCAGCCGCCGACCCCATCCACGCTTCCCGCTTCCACGCTCCACGCGTGGTCCACGCTCCACGACTACCCAATGCACATATACAAATATGAGTAGCGAATGGGCCTAATCTCCAGCCCTCTTGCATCGTCTACTTTGTTATTCATATTCGAACCCAGCGAGTCGTGAATTGCCATCTTCTCGGCCGCCGCGCACTGGCGGTCTGGCATCGATGCCGCAACATGCATTACTTTATAGTCCAGGCAATGGGGGCGCATATCTTTGTCGCGACGGCGACGGCCGTCGCCGTCATCGTCGAGAAAGCCAGGGCCACCTAGAAACCTCCACTTCGGATCAGACGTCGTGCCAATGTATATTGGGCGGCGGCCCGCGCTCTTGCGCAAGTACCTCAAAAGGCGCGCCACTCCTCCTCGTGGACGTCTAGCAGCGGCTGGTGCACCACAATCCTAATGTCGTCTATGTCCTTGCACTGCTGGTGCACGTCGTCACGCGCCATCTCCCAGAGCACGCGATGCCGATTCTCACGAGACCGTGAACGCATCCGACGCATGGCGAGGCCCGTGCGATCATCAGGGCTCCTTCTGGGGCCTGCGCCAGCAGCAGCCTTCTTATCGGGGCCCCCATCATCGTCGTCGTCACTGGCGATTTTCACGACCTCGCCGACGTCTTCGACTGCTGCAAGAAGCTCGCCGACGTCTTCGACTGCAGGCGGCGCCCATGCCGCTCTTTGTAGATTTAGTGCGAGCGCCGACGCCATCATCATCATTGCATTGACTCAGCCAACTTTCATCACTGCTTTGACTCAGCATCGTCTGAGATGATGCTCCCGCGGCTCTGCCCTCGCCTCCAGCGACTAGCGGGAGCAATGCGCCATGGGCCGAGGAATGCGGCCCAGCCTCCTGGCCATTGCCGCCGCCGCCACCCGCTGCTCTGCCGCCCATCTCATCCTGCTGGCCGATGACGGGCTTGACCTCCTCGACGTTGCCACCGCCGCCGATTTCATCAGCTGCTCTGACGCGCATCTCCTGCTGGTCGATGATGGGTTTAACCTCGCCGGCGCTGCCACCGCCGCCAGATGCATCAGCTGCTATGGCACCCATCTCCTCCTGCTGGTCGACAATGTGTTCGGCCTCGCCGGCGCTGCCACCGCCGCCAGATGCATCAGCTGCTCTGGCACCCATCTCCTCCTGCTGGTCGACAATGTGTTCGGCCTCGTCGGCGCTGCCGCCGCCGCCATCGTGCTCGACGGCGCCCTGAATCCGCTGCCGCTCGCACCGCTCGATGAAGTCCTCGACTGCATTGGCCATGCAAGTCATCTCGTTCTTGTACTTTCCCTTGTTGACGGGTGGTCGGTTCTTGGCCGACGCAGGCGAAGGGGCCGCGCTACTCATAGCCCTGCGGCCTCTGAGCCCTGAGCCCTGAGCCAAGAGCCAAAACGGCTATGGTGCATGCTGCATGCTGCTGCTGATTGTTGCTGCTGCTTGCTGCTGCTGCTGATTGTTGCTGTTGCTGCTGCTGCTGCTGCTGATTGTTGCTTGCTGCTGCTGCTGCTGATTGTTGCTGCTGCTGCTGATTGTTGCATGCTGCTGCTGATTGTTGCTGCTGCCGCCGGGTCGACAGCGGCTTGCACTCCTTGAAAAGTGCTTGCACTATTTCCTCAAACAGTGCTTGCACTCCAATATACACACGTAACACGTATGATATATAAGCGGCAGTGGCATGATATATATATATATATATATATATATATAAGCGGCGTGCGTATGATATATAAGCGGCGTCGTCGTCGTCTCGTTTCGTCGTCGTTTCGTCGTCGTCATTCATTGTCGTCGTCGGTCGTCGTCGCCACTCGTCGTCGGCATTCGGGTCTTCCTTCGTCAGTCGTCGTCGTCGTCGTCGTCGTCGTTTTCTCGTAGTCGTCGTCGTACGTCGTACGTCGTACGTCGTCCTTCGTCGGCCGTCGGTTGCCAATCGTCGCCATTCGTTGTCGTCGTCGCTCGTCGTCGTTCGTCGTTCGTCGTCGTCGGAGGTCGTTGTCGTCGATCTTCGTCGTCGTTCATTGTCGTCGTCGTCGCGCGCGCGCGCCCGCCGCGTCGGCCGTCGGCGGGCGGCGGGCGGCGCGACGAATGACGACGACGACGACGACGACGACGACGACGACGACGACCGCGACGACCACGACGACCACAACGACTACGACCAACGAAGGTTAAGTGGCAGGCCTCTCTGGGAACGCCAAAAGTTAAGTGGCAGGCCTCTCTGGGAACGCCAAAACAAAAGTGGCAGGCCTCTCTGGGAACGCCAAAAGTTAAGTGGCAGGCCTCTCTGGGAACGCCAAAACAAAAGTTAAGTGGCAGGCCTCTCTGGGAACGCCAAAAGATAAGTGGCAGGCCTCTCTGGGAACGCCAAAAGATAAGTGGCAGGCCTCTCTGGGAACGCCAAAAGATAAGTGGCAGGCCTCTCTGGGAACGCCAAAAGATAAGTGGCAGGCCTCTCTGGGAACGCCAAAAGATAAGTGGCAGGCCTCTCTGGGAAACGCCAAAAGATAAGTGGCAGGCCTCTCTGGGAACGCCAAAAGATAAGTGGCAGGCCTCTCTGGGAACGCCAGAAGATAAGTGGCAGGCCTCTCTGGGAACGCCAGAAGATAAGTGGCAGGCCTCTCTGGGAACGCCAGATGATAAGTGGCAGGCCTCTCTGGGAACGCCGAAATCATAAGTGGCAGCCCCCCCTGGGGCCCTCTAAGCAAGCGCGCCCAAAGTTACAGGGAGGCCGACCCTAATACAGCTTCACGTGCCGACACTAGCCTTTCACGGCGACCTTCTACGGGGAGGCACTCTGAAGAACGGAGAAAAAAAGGAGGATGGCGACGAGTAGGATGAGGACGAGCGGCAAATGCAGCAGGGTAAGAAAGAACAGCGACCGGAAAAAGAACTGTGTACCATACAATTTCCGCCATCGGGGACGCCAATCCCAAAGCGGCTGGAAAACCTCCGTGGCTACACACTTTCGAGCCGTCCTGGGACAGACGTTACCGACGGCGGACCAATTTTTTACCGTACACCCTTCTTCATGGGCTAACCCGGGAGGGGGGCGCGGTAGCAAGAGTACGCACAAAATAATCTCGACAAGCGTGGCGGGTTGCCCCGCTCCTCCACGTGCCCTCCGGCGGCAGCGCCAGCGGGGCCCGCCTCGGCCGCTGCCTCCACCTCTTCCTCCTCCTCCGCCGTGCCCTCGGCGGCCTCGGGGGCCCCTGCCGTGCCGGCGGGGCTGGCTGGGGGCCCCGCCGGGGGCTCTATCTCGGCCCCCGCCTCGGCGCTGGCGCGCCCTCCCTCGCGCGCGGCCTCCGAATCCTGTTGCCCGACGGCGCCCTCCGCGGCCTCGGGGCTGCCCACGCTGTTACCAACGCGGGCCTCCGCCACGGCGCACTCGCTGGGCCCCGCCTCGCCGGGGGGCGCCCCTGCGGTATCGCAGGAGGGGCTCTGCTCGGCAGGCCCTGGCTGGACAGGCGCCTCCTCGTCCTCAGGGATCGTGCCGGCACGAATTCCCCCTCTCCTGCTCAGAATGTTAGAAAGAGAGGGGTGGGGACAAGGGGCCGACATCGGAGCAGCAACTGAACTGTTTGAACTATCCTGGCGAAGGGCCTGACCAAATGAAGCTGCGGGTGCCGCGAGGCAAATACAAAAAACAAGAGTGGGGGGGGGTGCCGACATGGGGCGGGTGCGCCACACGAGCCCTGCCACTCGGGCCTTCGGTACAGCTCCCTATGGGGCCGCGAAACGTGTGAGGGGCGAACCGAATCGGATGCGGGCACGCCATGCGGATCCTGCTGTTGGGGCCTCCGGTGGAGCTCCCTACGGGGCCACGGCACGTGTGAGAGGTGTGCCGAATCGGGTGCGGGTAAGCTGCATGGTGATGATATTGAATCGTATGCGCGGCATCAACAGGGATGGGAAGAGGGAGGAGGTGGAGGAGGAGGAGGAGGAAGAGGATGATGATGATGATGATGAGGAGGAGGAGGAGGAGGAGGAGGAGCAGGAGAGGAGGGGAGAAGGACGCGGGGCGCTGCTTCTTCAAAACGAGGACGCGACACACACATACACACACAAACAAACAAACAACCACATAAACAAACAAACACACACACAGACACACACACACACACACACACACAGACACACACACACACATCACAGGTTGTGAACAATCGCAGCGGTTTCCAGGCCCCGGGACTATCAACAGCCAACTAAGCAGAACCCAAGCGGGCGCGCCAAGGGTCTCCTGATCGCCCGCGGGCCCTCCGGCGGCAGCGCCAGCGGGGCCAGACTCGGCCGCTGCCTCCACCTCTTCCTCCTCCTCCTCCGCCGTGCCCTCGGCGGCCTCGGGGGCCCCCGCCGTGCCGGCGGGGCTGGCTGGGGGCCCCGCCGGGGGCTCTATCTCGGCCCCCGCCTCGGCGCTGGCGCGCCCTCCCTCGCGCGCGGCCTCCGAATCCTGTTGCCCGACGGCGCCCTCCGCGGCCTCGGGGCTGCCCACGCTGTTACCAACGCGGGCCTCCGCCACGGCGCACTCGCTGGGCCCCGCCTCGCCGGGGGGCGCCCCTGCGGTATTGCAGGAGGGGCTCTGCTCGGCAGGCCCTGGCTGGACAGGCGCCTCCTCGTCCTCAGGGATCGTGCCGGCACGAATTCCCCCTCTCCTGCTCAGAATGTTAGAAAGAGAGGGGTGGGGACAAGGGGCCGACATCGGAGCAGCAACTGAACGGTTTGAACTATCCTAGCGAAGGGCCTGACCAAATGAAGCTGCGGGTGCCGCGAATCAACAAAAAACAAGAGTGGGGGGGGGGCCGACATGGGGCGGGTGCGCCACGCGAGCCCTGCCACTCGGGCCTTCGGTACAGCTCCGTATGGGGCCGCGAAACGTGTGAGGGTCGAGCCGAATCGGATGCGGGCACGCCATGCGGATCCTGCTGTTGGGGCCTCCGGTGGAGCTCCCTACGGGGCCACGGCACGTGTGAAAGGTGTGCCGAATCGGGTGCGGGTGCGCTGCATGGTGATGATATTGAATCGTATGCGGGGCATCAACAGGGGTGGGAAGAGGGAGGAGGTGGAGGAGGAGGAGGAGGAGGAGGAGGATCGATCGTTCGAGCTGTCGGGCCGATGTCGAAGGTAACGCCTACTCTAAGATGGTGCGGAGTGGCGGTTATAATTCTAGTTCGGCCTACTTAGCTGTGCTCACTTTGTGGGAGGTCGCTCGCGCTACGCGGCGCCCTGGCCCTGCCTGCTTCGGCTCTCCCCGCGCAGGGGCACGCGGGCAGGGTGCCACCCGCTCCTCGCAGATGCCTGCTAGCCTGCTGCCGCCCACTCTGTGTCGGTATCCTCTTCGTCGCTTTCGGTGTCGCGCCGCTCCTCTTCTGAATTGGCTTCCCCTGCAGGGCGCGCTGCACCGTGACCACCCCCGCAAGTTTATTCGTGCCAACCATCTCGAAATAGCCGTAGTTGGCCCACGCGGTGACAACCTCCTGGGTCCACTCGTGGAACTTGGCGCACAACCACGAGGCCGTGACCACGTAGCCCTCCTCGAGACGCCTCACCACGACGTCGTAAACTAGGTCGATCAACGACGGCGGCATCTCGTGTGCCGCGTTATCTTCGCGCCCCCGCGTGCCCAGCGTCGAGTCCTGATCGTCGTAACTCTCCTGCTCCTCGTGTTCCGTGTAATCCTGTGTGTCCAGGATCTCGTCCTGGCCCGCGTAGCTCTGCTGTAGCTCGTGCGTCGTGTCGTCCTTGTTGCCAAGCACCCCGTCCAGCTCTGCGAAGCTCTGCTGCTCCTCGTGAGCCGCGGCGCTTGGTGCTGAGCGCCTCCGCCTGGTCCGCGAAGCTGTGCTGCTCCTCTGGGGTCGCGGTGTCCTTGGTGTCCTGCGTCTCGTTCTGGTCGGTCTCGCGGTGTTGCTCGCTCGCCTCGGAGTTCCCGTCGTCCAGCGCCCCTGGTCGTCGAAGCCGCGCTGCTCCTCGTGCGTCGCGGCGTCCTGTGCCCAGCGTCTCGTCCTGGTCCGAATAGCTCTGCTTTGTCTCGTGCGTCGCGTCGTCCGTGGTGCCCTGCGCGTCCGTCCCGAGGAAGCTCAACTGCCCCTCGTGCGTCGCGGTACCCCCTGTGCCCAGCGTCCCGTCCTGGTCCGCGTAGCTCTGCTTCTTCTCGTGCGTAGTGCCGCCCTTGGTGCTCAACGCGTCCGTCGCTAGAAAGTTCCGCTGCCCCGTGTCCTTCGCGACGTCCTTGGTGCTCAGCGCCTCCTCCTGGTCGTCGAAGCTCTGCTGCTCCTTGCGCGTCGCGGTGGTCTTGGTGCCCAACGCCGCGTTCTGGCCCATGAAGCTCGGCTGCCTCTCGGGCGCCGCGTGCTCGTCGTGGCGGTACTGCTCGTACTCCTTCTCCGCCTCGTGCGCCACGAAGGTGAGGTAGTCCAGCTGTGCCTGCCTAGCGCAGTGCAGGAGTATTCGTCGTCGAGCACGTTGCTGCGAGCTCGAAGCCCACTTCGTTGCATGGCGCTTCAGCGGTCCCGCGGGCGCACTGTGCAAGATGATCGGATTGACATGCAAAGCGGGAGGAGCCGTGAGAGAGGCTGTCCACGCTGTTGCCTTGCCCCTGACTGACTGTGTAATGACCGTATGGGGTTCGTTTGCTGCCCTGACATGTGTTGGACCAAAATGGCAGCTGTAGGAAGAGAAGGAGGAGGAGGAGGCGGAGGAGGAGGAGGAGGGGGAGGAGGAGGAAGAGGAGGAGGAGGAGGAGGAGGAGGAGCAGGAGGAGGAGGAGCAGGAGAGGAGGGGAGAAGGACGCGGGGCGCGGCTTCTTCAAAACGAGGACGCAACACATACACACACACAAACAAACAAACAACCAAACAAACAAACAAACAAACAAACAAACAAACACACAAACAAACACACACCCACACCCACACACACACACACACACACACACACACACACACACACACACACGTCACACCACAGGTTGGTTGTGAACAATCGCAGCGGTTTCCAGGCCCCGGGACTGTCAACATCCAACTAAGCAGAACCCAGGCGGGCGCGCCAAGAGTCTCCTGATCGCCCGCGGGCACTCCAGCGGCAGCGCCAGCGGGGCCCGCCTCGGCCGCTGCCTCCACCTCTTCCTCCTCCTCCTCCGCCGTGCCCTCGGCGGCCTCGGGGGCCCCCGCCGTGCCGGCGGGGCTGGCTGGGGGCCCCGCCGGGGGCTCTATCTCGGCACCCGCCTCGGCGCTGGCGCGCCCTCCCTCGCGCGCGGCCTCCGAATCCTGTTGCCCGACGGCGCCCTCCGCGGCCTCGGGGCTGCCCACGCTGTTACCAACGCGGGCCTCCGCCACGGCGCACTCGCTGGGCCCCGCCTCGCCGGGGGGCGCCCCTGCGGAATCGCAGGAGGGGCTCTGCTCGGCAGGCCCTGGCTGGACAGGCGCCGCAGCAGCAGCAGCAGCGCCGTCGGCGGCCTCGGGGTCCCCACCCGTGCTGGCGGGGCTGGCTGGGGGCCCCGCCGGGGGCTCCATCTCGGCCCCCGCCTCCAGGCTCCCTTCCTCGGGCGCGGCCTCCGAATCCTGTTGCCCGACGGCGCCCTCCGCGGCCTCGGGGCTGCCAACGCTGTTGCCAACGCGGGCCCCCGCCACGGCGCAATCGCCGGCGGGCGCCCTGGCGGCCTCACCAGCCGGGCTCTGCTCAGCAAGCGCGGGCTCGTCAGGAACTTCCGCGTCCACAAATGCGGGCTCGTCAGGAACGTCCGCATCCTCCTGGCGCCGCGCCCGCACACTTGCCATCTCTCTCCCAAGATCATCCGGCATCGAATATAGAAATTGGATCGGACCGGCACATTCGTCGGACCGCCCGTGTCGACACGGGATCGGGCGAATCTAATCGGATCGGCCGCGCCAGGATTCACAACCGGCTCGTGCAACCAACAAGGCACATCGGATCGCCAGAATGTTGGAATCTGGTTGGATCGAGCCAGCCGAGATCGACATCGACTCGGATCAGTCGGATCAGGGCGCGAGCGAAGGGCAGAATTGTGCACTGCTTCCCTTCGATTGGGCGCGAGCGAAGGGAAGAATCAGTCGTGAGGCAAGCAGCGGGGCAGCAGTTTAGTGTTGCAGAGCATCAGGCATTGACCGAGCATCGCTTCTGGAATCTTAAACATAGGGCAGGAGGGAGTGGAAATTACCTGGAAATAGCGGCGGGGGAAACAGGATCATGGAGGGGTGGGTGGATCGCATTGCGTCGCCGATGAATCGGATGCGTCGGCGAGGTTGGGAGAAAAACATCGTACGGTACTCCGGATCGCTGATTGGGGATCCCAAGACCGTGTGGTGACAGACCGTGTGGCGACATCGGAATCCCCCAGCGACATCACTACAGGGTCCGTCACCGCATGGTGTTGGGAACCTAGAGGCCCCAGTCGCCCGAGACGGTCTCGTAGAGCGACCTAAGTCCCAAGACCGTTCAATGACCCCGACTCCCGACTGACTCACCACACGGTGTGGTCACCACACCGCTCGGGGGCTCCCGAGCTGATGCATCGACGATGCCGCCCATCCAAAGTGGCAGGAGCAGGGAGGACCCGTGCGGGCCCTTGCAGTGATCATCGGTGTCCTCGGCAACTTCTGCCCCCAGCCCCGCGCCGGCTGGCTGGATCTCCTGGGGTGCCGCGGGGCCGGCGTCCGGGCGGGAGGGCTTCCTCTGAGGCTCCTGCTCCCCTCTCAGATCCAGGCGACGAACAGAAATCATCGCGGCGGCCTGTGTTTCGTCTTTCCCGGCCTCTAGAGACCGAGAACGACGAACATCAAGCAAAGAAAGATGAAGCACAAGCCAGTGCAAAAGAACGGCCACCAGCTGGAGGCTGGCCTCGGAAGTCGAAAAACGACTCAGGATGAGAATCTGGCACTTGGGAAGCGGTCAAAGACCAGGGTGACGTGACGACTCCACAAACAAAACAACGTCGGGGGAGATGATCCTGCTCATCCTGCTCATCCTGCTGGTGCTCATGCGCCTCCTCATCCTCGTCATCGCCAGCCTGCGCTTCATCGTCTCCCTCTCATCATCACTCCGCATATCATCCTCACCCTTGATTCGACAGATATCATCATCCCCTCCTTCCTCCTCCTCCTCCCTCCCTCCCTCCTTTCCTCCCTCCCTCCGACCTCCAACTCCCAGCCCTGGTGGTCTCACGCCCGATGCCCAGACCAGTATACCGGCGGCTGCGGAGCAAGAGCAGAGGAGAGGAGGCGAGGGACGAGAGGTCTGGAAGGGGATGAGGGTGGGGGAAAGGAGGAGTGAGGGACGGACGGGGGGGGGAGGGATGGGGAACGGGGGAGAATAGAGAGAGAGAGAGGAAGAGAGGGGAGGGGTGAGGGGGAGCATGAGGGGAAAAGGGGGGAGGACGGCATGTGGAGGGAGCCGGGAGAGAAGAGGGAAAGAAGGGCAGCAACAAGGGAGGAGGATAGGAATGGGCACGACCATCAGCAAGGTGCACGAGACGGCAGCGGAAAGCGGGGGACGGCAGCGGCAACACGAGGTTGGACGAAACGGGAGGTTAATCGAGGGATGTGGGCAGCGAACCAAGTCACGCAGCCAGTGTTCCCAGTGCCCTCTGGCGCCCGAGGCGCCCCTGTAACTCACGTCATGATGCGATTGGCTCAGGGGGCGATCCAGGAATTCGAGTACGTAGCGGCCCTCGCATCTGGAGCCCTCGCGGAGCAAGAGGAAATCTTGGAACGCATCATTGACACGACCTCTGGTCCCTCTCAAACTAAGCCCACGTTTATGGTTTTTTCCGACGCCGCTCACCGCCAGAGGCGCTCAGTGTAACTAGAAACGCGCTGGGCCGCTTGGACGAAACCAGCTGCCCGCAGCAGATTTCGGGACCCTCGCTTTCCCAATCCCCGCCCCCCCCTGTCGTCTGGCCCAAGGGGAGCGGGAACGAGTGCGGGCGCGGGGTGCGCGGGAGGCATGGTGCACACGTTCTCCTGGCCAGGGCCGGGTGTGCCTGAAAACCACAGCCACGGCCAGACGTGGTGGTGGTCTTGGTGCCTCCTGCGGATGGGAAAACGAAACCGCGGGGGACAGATCCCTTGGGCGCTCCGACCAGGACTTCGAGACGAATCCAGCACTGGCGACGAGGGCCTCCTAGCCCTCAAGAGGCGAGAACGAGGCAGGAGCGCTGAAGAAGCAGCGAAGCGGCCAGGTGCACGAGGAGCGCCAGGAGACCCATCGAAGAACCCAATCACCACCGAACCACCCCAGGACTGCACCGCCCCCCACCGCCCCCGGCCCGATTCCGCAGCCGCGCGCCTCCGCCGCTGCAGCGCCGGGGGCTGCCGCGTCCGTGGGCTCGGGGCTGCGGGCGGCCTCGGGGCCCGCGGCCACAGCCGCGGCTTCTGGGCACTCCGACGGACCCTCGCCACGCGCGCCCTGCTCCGCTGGGTCGGCGGCCTCTCGGGCGGCAGAGGGCAGTGGTGGGCAAGGAGCTCCGACGGTGACCCGCTCTCCGAGAGCTCATGGCCCCTGGAGGCCCGCCTCGAGGGCGCCGCTGGGGGCACCCGCGCGTGCGGGACGAACGGTGGTGTTACGGTGCGAGTGGTTCATGATGCGTTCCAGGAGCTCGGGAGTATGGAGGTGATGGAGATCAATTCGAATGGGGATACATCCAGAATCCCTGAGTCCAGGCGGCTCTGGAGGACAAAATCGGGTGCCGCGGCCGTTCAGGGGCGATTCTGAACGCTCTGAGAGCCCTCAGGAACGCTCTGGCGCAATCTATCTTTATCCTGGTCCTGCCTGAAGTGTCCAGAGGCCCCGTCTCTGGAGTCAGCGATCCTGGGAGGACAAACTCAGGGGGGCACACTGGCTTGGAAACGGCGATACATCGCCGATCGATTGGCGATAGGCCTTCGGTGTGTATATATATATATAGAGAGAGAGAGAGAGAGAGAGAGAGAGAGATCCCGCGGGCTCCTGGGCGGGGCGGACTATCCGGGCCCTTGTCGGTGTGTAATGGCTGATTGGGGATCGATGCGCCCCCCCCTATCGACTCCACCCCCAGACGCTGACTCAGGTCGTATTGATGGTCGGACAGCCCTCGAGAGCCAGCGCGGAAGACTGGCAACAGAAAAATTGCTGGGCGCCGATCCACGACGGGCCCCCTCTTAGCCACGAAGGTCTGGGGTCGGAGGCCTCTCCTGCAGAACTTCATCCAGGAGGATGGGGAGGACGACGAGCGACGAGAAGGAGGTATAGGACGAGGAGGGCGAGGGCAAGGAGAAGGAGGCGGCGGTGTAAGAAGGGCTCGGCCCCAGGTGGCGCGGTCTTCTACCACGCTTCTGCCAATTAAGAACTCGGTGGAGCTGGAAATCTAACTTCGTGCAAACACACACACAAGATGCCAATGATAGCAAAGCCGTGATTCAGCGAACCTAGCCAAAATTCTGTGTGTTTGCCGTGATTCGGCAAACACACACCGATGGCGCATCTCGTTCGAAGCCGGACGATTACAGGCACTGGTGACGTTCAACCTGGAACGCCTGCGCTGCAGTCGCTGCCGCGTTGACATGGCGCGAACCTGCCGAACCTGTTCGCCATGCCTACCCCACACGCCTTGCAGGGCCGTTCCCCTCCCCAATCCCTCTGCTCCCTGATCTGACCTGTCCACCCAACCCCACCCTTGACCGCCCCCTCCCTCGGATGGACTCCCTGGGATCCCCGACATAGACCGCTCGATGCGCAGCCCGCGGGTCAGGCTCGAGAGACCTCGAACCTCCCGACACAGAGGCTCCCAAGACGATCCGACAGGCTCCGAAAGGAAACGGTTGGAATGTCAACCAGGGCAACATATTGAAAATGCCAGCCTGATACTCTTATTAGAAGATCTCGCGGCCTCCCGAAACTAATCACGACGCCGCCTCCACGACACGATCGAAATGGTCACGGAAACTATGGGGACGAAGATCGAGAACAATTCTCGTCCACTTTGAACAGGAATCGCTGCCGGCGTCGACGCGGACGCTGTCCATTCGAGACAACATCGTCGTCTGCCCAACAGCGGCCGCTGTCGGTGTTTAACAACAATTGCTGTTCGGGATCGTATCCAGTCCCTCCCTGCCCATGTCATGCGTGTTACCCGCGAGATCCTCCCCCCCATTCCCGCCAGCCGTCGAAGGTCGAAAGGAGGGGCGGAGCGAGGAGAGGAGAACCAGTGCCTCCGGCCGTCTGCGCGCTAGAGTGACCCGTGGCACGACTAGCACTTGGCCCGCGGCTAAGGGGGCCGTGGGGAGGGGGGCCAGCCTGACACGTCTCTCCATCCACTTGCGTCGGTTCGCTGAAAGGGCATCACAGGGTATGACCATCGTCTCGGGCTGGTCAAACTCAGGGACACATGGACAAGTGCGAGGTTCCTGGGGGCCATATTCAGGCGAGCAGGCCAGTGCAAGAGGGAGCCCCTGCGGGTCCGCTCCAGAGGCCACGCTCGCGCGGTGCAGATCCAACTCCCGATGCCGCTGCCTCCCGGAGCTGCAGCACTCCAGGTGCGTTCCGGGCATGATCTCGGGGCGAGTCCGACCGCGGCGGCGAGCTACGGGCAGCGGCATCGGCACCTGTCCCTCCTCTGATAGGGAGAGACAGGCCGAGGAAGGGAATGGCAGCGTCTTCAATGGGAACCGCATGTGTTTTACTGCGGTAACGGAAAGAGCGAGGTACGAGTGATGACGTTGTGTTTTGGGCGAAGCCCCTTAAGGGGGGGTTCCAGGGGGGGGCGTACGGCGAGTGGATGGGTTGAATGGTGGTTTTCGGGTTTCCCCTCGGGTGTTTGCATGTTGTTCGAGTTCCCCCCAAGACGGCCCAAGAACGCTCCAAGACAGCCTAAGACCGCCCAAGACGGCCCAGGAGGCCCCCAAGAGGCCACCCAGAAAAGCGTATATCTTTAGCATACACGGCTTTTCGGCTTTCGCGGCGTTGACGACGGCCCAAGAGGCCGCCATGACCGGCCCAAGACGGCCCAAGGGGCTCCCAAGAGGCCCCCAAAACGGCCCAAGAGGGCGCCAAGACGGTCCAAGAGGCGCCCAAGACGGCCCAAGAGGGCCCCAAGACGGCCCCGAGAGGAGGACCACGAACCGAAAAGTCTAGCCTGTCGCCCCAAGACGCTCCCAGGATGTTCCAAGAGCCCTCCAAGAAGCCCCAAGAGGCCCCCATGAGGCGCCCCAAGAGGCCACCAGGAGGCCAACATCATTGATTTTTCTATACGGAAAATACATGTTAGCCCATAAGGCTGTTCGGCTTTCACGGCGTTGAAGACGGTCTAAGAGGTCCCCAAGACCGGTCCAAGACGCTCCAAGACGCTTCCAAGAGGCCCCCAAAACGGCCCAAGAGGGCACCAAGACGGCCCAAGAGACGACCAAGACGGCCCCAAAGGGCCCCAAGACGGCCCCAAGAGGGGGACCACGAACCGAGAGCCCCCCAAGAAGCCCCAAGAGGCTCCTAAGAGGCTCCCAAGAAGCCTCCAAAAGGGCCCGACAAGGGCCGCAATAGGACTCCAAAGAAGGCCCAGAGACGCCAAATAAAGCTCGATCGGTAACGCAAAACGTTCTTCACACCAAGGCTCCCAAGAGCGAACGGTGACGTAAACAAGCTGATAAGACCAAGGCTCCCAGCAACGAGCGGTGACGCAACAAGTTCCTGACACCAAGGCCCAGCCCAGGCTCAGGAACGGGCGGCAACGCAACAATCTCTGACCACCAAGGCTCCCACGAGCGAGGGGTGACGTAACAAGCTCTCAACGCAAAGGCTCCCAGCACGAACGGTGGTGTGAGTCATTTCGGCTCCTGTTTCTGAAGCGCTCTTTCCGTTTCTGTGCCAGGCCAGGTCTACGGGCCTTCGCCCAAAACATGGTGTACGAGTGATGACGTTCTGGTGTAGGCGAAGCCCTGAAGGGAGGGGTTCCAGGGGAGGGGCGAAGCGGGCGCACTTGCGTGTTAATGGCCATTTTCAGGTTTTCCCTCGGGTGTTTGCATGTTTGTCGGGTTCCCCCCCAAGACGGCCCAAGAGCGCTCCAAGAAAGCCCAAGACCGCCCAAGACGGCCCAAGAGGCCCCCAAGAGGCCCCCAAGAGGCGCCCAAGGGGCGTCCCAAGAGGGTCCCAAGAGGCCGAAATCATTGATTTTCCACAGGGAAACGTATATTTTTAGCATATGCGCTTTGTCGTCTTTCACGGCGTTGACGACGGCCCAAGAGGCCCCCAAGACCGCCCCAAGACGGCCCAAGAGACTCCCAAGAGGCCCCCCAAAACGGCCCAAGAGGGCCCCAAGACGGCCCAAGAGGCGCCCAAGACGGCCCAAGAGGGCGCCAAAACGGCCCCAAGAGGGGGACCACGAAACCGAAAAGTCGAGCCTATCACCCCAAGACGCCCCCAGGAGGCCCCCACAGCCCCCCAAGAAGCCCCAAGAGGCCCCCAAGAGGCGTCCAACGAGGCCATCAGGAGGCCGAAATCATTGATTTTCTATAGGGAAAACGTGCATTTTTAGCATGCACGGGTTTTCGGTTTTCACGGCGTTGACGACGGCCCAAGAGGCCCCCACGACCGCCCCAAGACGGCCCAAGAGGCTCCCAAGAGGCCCCCCAAACGGCCCAAGAGGGCGCCAAGACGGCCCGGCGCCCAAGACGGCCCACGAGGGCCCCAAGACGGCCCCAAGAGGGGGACCACGAACCGAACAGTTGAGCCTTTCGCCCCAAGGCGCTCCCAGGAGGCCCCCACAGACCCCCAAGAAGCCCAAAGAGGCCCCCGCAAGGCCACCAGGAGAGCCCGAAAAGGGCCGCAATAGGACCCCCACGAAGGCCCAGAGACGCCAAGAGCGATCGGTAATGCAAGAGCGAGCGGTGACGTAAACAAGCTGATAAGACCAAGGCTCCCAGCAGAGAGCGGTGACGTAACAAGTTCCTGACACCAAGGCCCAGCCAAGGCTCAGGAACGGGCGGCAACGCAACGATCTCTGAACCCCAAGGCTCCCAAGAGCGAGGGGTGACGTAACCAGCTCTGAACGCCAAGGCTCCCGGTACGAACGGTGGTGTGAGTCATTTCGGTTTCTGCTGCTGCAGCGCTCTTTCCGTTTCTGTGCCGGGCCAGGTCTAAGGGTCTTCGCCCAAAACATGGTGATTGTGGAACGTCTCACGCTCGCAGATTTACCCCGAAGAATGTCCACGATCGGCGAGACGTAAGACTCGGGTTCGGGGTACTCGGATTGGCCTGAATTGAACTGACGAGACCCAAACCCAAGCTCTGGAGAACTCGAGTCGTACGTGTCCCCGACACTGTACAGTCCGCGGTGGCGATTGCGAACATGGTTTCATGGTCATGCTGCTGCCATCCCTGGGGCGCTCCCCCCGTGGTGGCCTGCGGCGTGCCGGCGGAAGGCGTGGGGGCCGCGGCGACCCTGGCCCTCAGCGCCAAGGCCGCGCGCGAGGGCGCCCCGCCCAGGCCGGACGCCGAGTGGAACGAGGCCAGCGGCCCAGAGCGGAAAGCTGCCAGGGCGTCGCGGGCCTCCAAGCGGGATGGCCCAAATCTCAGAAGCAGACGAGATGCAGATATAGACATGCGTGCCTACAATGTAGGCACGCGTGTCTATATCTGCCTACAATGTAGGCACAATGTACAATGTGTGTATGTAGGCCCTACATACACACATACGTACGTACATGCGTGCATGCATACATACATACATATGTAGAGGCGTGGATACATGAGCGCACGAAATGATGAATCAGGGTCGCGCCGACGCTGCATCCGCGCCGTGCCGAGGCGGAGGAGGAACCGAAGGAGGGCAGGATGAGGAGAAATCAGACGTGGCGACAATGCGCACCAAGTGTGGACACACGCTCGCTTTCGAGGCTACACAGATTGAAGCCCCGAAGCTCGACGACATGAAAGAGAACACAGGTGATCTGAAACCGATACGTTGAACCGAATTGCCCAGGGCACAGTAATTAGCTTGCAACGCCAGCCTGCTTTCAGCTGTCACGGCGAAGGGAGAAAGAGAAGGAGAGGAGAGAATCGGACAGGGTTCCCTTGCCGACGCCTCTGGTTATCTACATGCATGCATACACATATACGTGCGTGTGTATATGTATATATATATACATACATAAATGTAGCGAGTGATGCGGGAGGCGAAACAAGTGATGAAACTGTATGTGTGCACACACCTCTGTACAGGCGTGGCTGGGCACACGGGCGCAGGCTGTACAAAGAGACGGCTAAACGACGGCTAACGTTGCGTCTGGCCGACGACCCGGCCAGTGGCAAGTCGTGCGGGGCCACAGGCAATCGCGTGCGAGAAGCTGAGGCACTGAGCGTTACGACGCTCGAGCTTATGTGCCACGTCCAGACGTAAGATCTCGGAGCTGCACAGAGGTTTAAACTCAGACGGCCTGGAGAGGATCTGCTGCCAGCACGCCGGGCGACGGCTATCTCACAGGCGCGACAGGAGGCGCAAGCGGCTGCCCAAAGAGGTGCGGCAAACAGGGCAAAGGCCTTCCCCGTTCGCGAAGAGGCGCTGCTGACAACGAATTTGGTGGCGGATGTGCATGTGCTGCGCGCGCGCCTTGTTGGAGTCCAGGAGTCCACGAAGTAGAGGCACGACACCGCCTGAGCCCACTTGTGACAGCTGTCAGTATAAGGGCACTCCATGCCCTGGGCTGCGTGGCGGGGTCTGGGAGCTGCGCGCACAAGGCGACAGTGCGGCGTTGACACTGCATGTCACCGATGACGAGACGCGCCCATGGCAGTAGCGCGCCCGAAGGACGGGAGCACAACAAGGCAAGCAACGCTTTGGGCTGCCTGCGAAAGAAGCGTGCAAAATATCGGAGGCGAGAACATGAGGAACCAATCGATACTGGGCACGCGCATGCGCACCCTCACTTGCTGATCGGTCTCGGTGGATTCGTACCGTGGAACGTTGCCGATAAGTCGCGCGGCCCTCATGTACACGCTGGTCAGCTGCATTGTGAAGCGCCGCGACGGCACGACGATGTGCGCGTGGAACATCAAGCGGCTGAGGATCAGCGAATGGAGGAGCCACTGCTTGACCCAGTCCTGCACCACGGGCGACCCGGACACCTTCGACGCCAGTGGCCCGTAGCTGGCTGCTGCCTGCTGGCGGAGGTGCTGCGCGAAAGGGCCGAGGGCCCCGTTGGCGCACACCACGCCCCCTAGTTGTTTGTAGCGATCGACCACCAACAATTACGTGGTGCGCTGGGGGACCTGCACCGCCAGGCGTCCGCCTGCACGAATCCGCCTTTGTTCTAGGAGCTTGGAGGCCAAGTGGCCGCGGCAGGTCAGGAAGCACTCTGTCTTGCCCGCCCTCCAACTGACCTCCAAGTTAAGCTTCTCGTATGAATCGCACACGGCCCGCAATAGGATGTCGATGCCGCGGTCCAGGTCGACTCCGCGGCGGGCAACGAGGCCGAAGCAGTGGTCGTCGACGAAGGCGGCGTCGAGCACGGGGACGCCGTCTGGGTCGAGATGCTCACCGGTGATGCCGTCGCTCCAGACCTCGGCCAACCCAGGGAGGAGGCGCAGCACAGTGCCGCACTGGAGGAGCGCGTCGCGCACGAGGGTCATCGCGAGCGAGAACGTACTATTGAAGATGGTGGCTCCGTACTTGCAGCCCTGCCGGCCACCAAGCAGAGTGGAGACGGCGGAGTCCACGTCCCCGTAGGAGAACCAGGACGTACTGCGAAGGCTCTTCGAAGCACTGCTCACCTTCGGGTGCACGCCCCACTGCTCCAACAGGCCCCCGTGCTCAGCCACCCACTCGGCGATCCAACTGACCGAGGCCGGGGGCAGCCCGAGCGCGCGCAAGTATGAAGCCGATCCGGCGTGTGAGTTTCTGAGAGCGTGGGCGGGAGCTCGCTCAAGAATTCGCTGTGCAAGGGGGGGGGGGGGACACCATTCCCGACGCCAGGAGCTGGGGGGGGGGTCGCTCTGCAGGGGGGGGGGGGGACGCCATTCGCGACGCCATTCAGTGCTCAGGAGCCGGCGGGGGGGAGAATTCGCTCTGCAAGGGGTCGGGTGTGGACGAGTGCTGGGGAACTGGGGGGGGGGTCGCTCTGCAAGGGGGGGGAGGGGGCGCCATTCCCGACGCCAGTCAGCGCTCGGGAGCCAAGGGGGCAGGGTTCGCTCTGCAAGGGGGGGGGGACGCCGTTCCCGGCGCCAAGCAGTGCTCGGGGACGGCGGGGCTTCGCTTCCGACAGTCCCAGAGGCCCCCGCGACCGCGTCAAGACAGCTCAATAGGCTCCCAAGACGACCCCAACACGGCACAAGAGGGGGCGCTCCTTCTCCTTCTCCTCCTCCTCCTCCTCCTCCTCCCTCCTCATGCTCCTTCCTCTCTGCTCCTGCTTCTTCGCCTCTCCTTCCTCCTTCTTCCCTCCCTCCCTCCCCTCCCCCCCTCCTCCTTTCTCCCTCATCCCTCCTGTCCACTACCTCTTGCCTCCTCCCTCGTCCTCCCTCCTCGCGCGTTCTCTCTCCTCCCTCGTCAAAGCCAAAAACAGCCACAAAACGGCCGCTTATGAGCTCAACAACATGTGAAGACGGAAGACGCTGCATATGATGGTCGACCTCTTCCATTTCATCTGGTTCATCATGACCGTCGTCATCACCATCCACCACCATGGTCAACGTCATCATCCTCATCATCCTCATCATCATCATCAGTAACATCACCATCATAAGAATCATCACCATCAACATCATCATCACCATCATCATCACCATCATCATCATCATCAGCGTCATCATCAGCAACATCACCATCACCATCGCCATCCTCACCAACTGCATCATCCGAAATACCTTGAGAATTTACGTCATCAACGTCAACACCAACGTCATCATTCGTATCAACATCATTGTGGGCACACCGCTATCAGCATCATAAACACTATCACCAGCATCAGCATCACAATCCTTATTATCGCCGTCGTCATCACCAAATTCATGCTCTTCACTATGCCCTTCACAATGATAAACATAATCGTAATCTACATCATCATCATCATCATCATCATCATCATCATCATCATCAACATCATCATCCATAGTATCAACATCATCGACATCGTCATCATCATCACCACCATCATCATCATCATAATCAGCATCATCATCATCATCAGCATCATCATCATCATCATCAACATCATCATCATTATCCGGAGCGCCCCTGATCGGCGGCACCGGCCGGAAGCCAGGACAATATTTATATATAAATGCATGTATACATGCATGCGTGCATGCATACATACCTTTCTACGTACTATAGCATGTAGTGTAGTGTTTGTATGTGTAGATGTGTGTGTGCTTGTATGTATGGATGTATTTGTGCATGCATGCATGCATGTATGCATGTATGTGTGAATGTATGTATGGTTGTAGGTATGTACGTATGTATGTATGTATGCATGCATGCATGCATACATCCACACATACATATAATATGTATATATATACATACATACATATATGTACCTTCCCGTTGGCCCCTCCGGGGGCGCAAGGCTGCGAAAGTGTGTGCGGTCTGCTGTCATGTGGTATGTGTTGTCATGTGTTGTCCGTAAAGACTGCCCTAGAGCGTCCAAAGATGGACCCACGACTGCCCAGAGAGTCCCCCAAGACGGCCTCAAAGGCCAAAGAGATGCCAAGAGGTCCCCGAGGGCCCCACATGCCACAGAGGCCCCCAAGATGCCCCCGAGAGACCATCAAGCTGCTCCTACGAAACTGCCAGAAAGCCACAAGACGGCCTCAAGGCAGCCTCATGTTGCTCCTCCTCCTCCTCCACCTCCTCCCTCTCATTCTCCCTTTGCTTCCCTCAAGTGGGTCCACAACGGCTTGGGGGACATGTGGTCCAGCAGCTTGGCAGGATTTCGGCCCAACGTTTGGCCACACAGGCGTTTCCAGAAGGCAGGAGGCGGCGATGGTTTGTCGTGGGCGACTTCGATCCGCCACCCCCTTTTGATGTGTCAAAGAGGCGCCTGGCGTGCCAAACGTTTGGTGTGTTGGCCCCTTCCAGAAAAACCCCAGTGAGGTCACGGCAGGTCCGGCCTGCCGCGCGGAAAGACTCCAAATCCACAAAACGTCTCCCCAAGGCAATCAAGATGGCCCAACATGGCCTTCAAGGCAGCCAATGTGATCCGAGGTGGCCTCTGAGACTGTCCCGATACGCCTCCAAGACGGCCAGGCTGCCCCAAGACGGCACAAGATGCCAGTCGGACGACCCAAGAGTTCCCCGAGGGCTCTGAGACGATCTCCGGGAGGCCAAAAGCACTGATTACCCTGAACTTGTTCAATGATTGTTGCGTTCTCGCCTTTTCAGACTTCCGACGCTCCAATAACGGCACCAAGATCGCCCAAGATCGCCCCAAGAGACCCCCAAGAGACCCCCAAGAGACCCGCGACTTGCCCAGAGAGGCTCCTCAAACGGCCTCCGAAGGCCAAGAGATCCCTTAGAGGCCCCCAGAGGCCGCCAGAAGGCCCATGCCCCACGAGGCCCCAGAGGGGTCCGTCAGAGGCCCCCAAGCCGCTCCCAGGAAGCCTCAAGGAAACCACAAGAGAACCACAAGACGACTTCCTGTTCATCCTCCTCCTCCTCCTCATTCTCCTTCTCATCCGTTTCATCTTCTATTCACTGTTTCTCCCAGGTGTTCCCCCAAGGGGTTCCACAACGGCTGGGGGAACACGTAGTCCAACTACTTACGTTTGGTCACATAGGCGTTTCCAAAAGGCAGGGGGCGGCGATGGTTCGCCACATGGCATGCGTCTTCGCTCCGTTACACCCCGCGTTTATCACAAGGGTGCCTGTCTTGCTGGACTGTGCTTCCCGTCTTGATGTGACCATCTGATGAAGGTTCCCAATGGCCTTGATCTGGACCCGCCGGCCACCCGGAAAGACCAGGGCGAGAACGGCGTTCCCGCTCAAGATGGCCTCAAGACGGCCCCTAAGATGGCCAAGTTGCCCTGCCGATCGGCCCAAGATGGCCCAAGATTGCCTCAAAAACTGTCCGAGGGCGTCCAACAGGTCTCCAAGTCGACTCGATATGATTGCAAACGGCCCAAGATGCCCTCCAAAGGGCCAAGAGGCCCCCAAGAAGCCCCAAGAGGGCTCCAAGGGGACCTCGAAGAGAGCTCCAAACCATAGATTTCCTTTAGGCGTTTCAATGGAATTCGCGTTTTCAAGCGTTCTTGCCATTTCGGGCGCCCAACGGCTCAAGAAGCCCCCAAGAGGGCCCCAGGACGGGTCAACAGAGCGCAAAAACGACCCAGTAGGTCCCCAAGACGGCCCCAACAGGGCCACGAGATGGCCCCAGAGACCTCCAAGACGGCCCGAAAGCGTCCCGAGAGGGTCCAAAGACGGCCAAGTAAGGCGCCCAAGACGGCCCCATGAAGCCCTCAGAAGGCGCCCAAGACGGTGGTTCGCCGCATGTGTCTTCGATATGTACATGTATGTATGTATGTATGTATGTATGTATGTAGGTAGGTAGGTAGGTAGGTAGGTAGGTCGGTAGGTAGGTAGGTATGCCTGTATGTATGTATATATACACAAACATACACGTAAATAGCAAGAGAGCGGGAGAGGAAAAGGGAGGAGGGCGTGGAGGAAGGTGGACAAACGAGAACCTCCTCTTCCTCCTCCCCCTCCGTGTCTCATCCCCCTTCTGGCAATTCTGCAGGCTTCTTCGGGGGGCGAGTCGTCACTGGCCTCCGCCAGCCTCCTCCCTGCGGCCGCGGCCGCGGCCGCGCGCGCCCCGCGCATGCGCTCGGCTGCGGCGAGCGCTGCCTGGAGCCCACCGTGCTGCGCCTGCGCCTCCTGCCAGGGCTTCGCACGCTGCGTGACAGTCACCTCGGCTACTCTTCGCTGCCCTGCGGAGCGCGTGGCGGGCAGAAACCAGATTGTGTTGGAATGCGCGTCGGATCAGCCCGCATCGGCACGGAATCACGATCGGATCGGCTCGGCCACGCGAAGAAACACAAGCGCCATGCAAGCATCGATCCGCGTCGGGTCGCCGGAATGTCGGAACCGAATCGGATCGGACAGGCCAGAATCGACATCGACATGCTTCCTGACTCGTGTCGTTTGCCCTTCCAGCATCCAGCTCTCGAGGTGCTCGCTCGGGGCCTCCGCCGCGGGAGCCCCCTGGGCCCTGGACCTCAACCCCTTCCGCGGGACCGGCGTCCTATCTCGAGCTGCTTTTTGCAGCCCCGATGCCCCAAATCTGCCCTCACAGTGCTCGGGGACGCACTGACCCAGGTCGATGTACACCCAGGTCAGTCGGGCCTTGCAAGATCCTGGAGGATCATGAAAGATCCTGCGCGAAAGCCCGGGTCAATGCACCCCTAGCTCTGCAGGGTCCTGGCAAATCCGGCGCTCTGGCTGACACCCATTTGCGTTGACACCCGTCTCAAAGCTCCCGAAATGCTACAAAAAGCGCCAAACTGGCCGCCTCGATCTATGTCGAGCCCCCTGGGCTGGGCCACAAATCTAGCATCCGGTGACCGATCGGGACGTTCCGAACACCCCCAGAACTCGAATAGGGGATCGACTACAGAATTCCACCAGCCCTCTGGACTAAGATGGTCTAGCGATATCTTTGTTTCCTATTCCAAAAACCTCTTCCATTCCATTAGGTTTATCCCCCCTCCCTGAGGTTTTTTTGGAGGGATCGCGACGCGTTAGGGCACCCCAGCTGGCCCAAGATGGCTCCACGAGGGCATCCGCTGCTCACCAAGATGGCCTCAAATGTATCAACAAATAGCTGAGGTTGGTTCAAGACAGCTTCCGACATACCTCCAAGAAGCCCGACGAAGGCCACACGACGGTTGCAAGTGCTCTCGGAGCTTTTTCAGGACCTCCCCAAGAGGCCCCAATCCTTCAATTACCTGAAGAAAATCAATGATGTTTCATGTATCGCCTTTTCGCTTCCGATGCGCTTTCGCGGCCTCAATATGGCCCCAGGATGGCCCAAGAGATGCCCAAGAGGGGCCCAAGAGGTCCTTCAGACGGCCCCAGATCGCTTCAAGAGGGCCCCAGGGGGCGATTTTGATAGTCCCAGAGGGGGGATGTAAATCGAAGACACCCCTATCTTTCATCGATATCCTCCAAAACGGCCCAAAGAGACTTTCCAGGGCTCCCAAGATGCCCCCTAGAGAGCCCCAAGACCCCCCCAAAGAGCCCCTAAGAGAACCCCAAGCAGATTCCAAGAGGCGATTTTCAAGGCTTTGTCGTCGTCTCCGTTGTCCTCCTCCTCCTCCTCCTCCTCCTCCTCCTCCTCCTCTTCCTCCTCCTCCTCCTCCTCCTCCTCCTCCTCCTCCTCCTCCAAGTCCCCGTCCTTGCACTCATCGTCTTCATTGTCCTGGTCCTCCTGTTCCTGGTCGTCGTCGTGGTCGTGGTCGTCGTCGTCGCCCTCCTCCTCCTCCTCCTCCTCATTCTCCTCCTCCTCCTCCTCCGCATCCTTCTCCTCCTCCTTCTCCTTCCTCGCCCCCACGCGGGTCCGAGGGACGGCCCAAAGAGGCCCTCCAAGGCCACATCCTTGCTCCAGAGATGTCTCTGTTCACCCTGGTTACTCGCTTTGTTTCACTACAAGTGTCGATCTGTCCCCTTTCACGTCAACTCTCATGGGCAGGGTCTGTGACTGGGCTTGTGAGGATAGGCGAAGCGTCAAAAATTGATGTATCCCAAACTTGATCGGTCCGTCGAATCCATGACACATGCGTAGAACGCACGTAGATCTACCAGCAGTCTACAAATATGGTGTATATTCGACGAGAAGACCATGTGCGTTGTCCTACTCGAAGGAGGCTGTTGGGGAGGCGCATCCAATGGAAATCAGTACCCCGAGGCTGGAAAACCTCTGGGGACAGGCGAGGACACCCGGACACATATAATGGTATATCGTATATCTCACATTTGCTGGAAGTGGGACGCGCCGTTTCTCTCCTTCGATCCGAGGCGGGGATCTATTCATAACCACCGCCTAGAGATTGATATTCGGAGGCCTTAGATGACAATGCGTATGAATACTTTCATATGTGTAGAACCACTCGCGCGCTCAAGCTCTAGCATGCTCGAGTGGTAGTCTGAAGTGTCCGACATCGGAGGACATATATTGTCACACGGATCATGCCCCTTGGAGAGCTTCACCTGTGTCCACAGAGACAGACTTGGCTTAGCGTCCCCCCCGCCCATGTCGGCACACCACTTACAGAGATCACGCCCCGCAAGAAGCTCCACCTACATCCCCAGAGACAATATTCGCATAATGGAACGCCCCATCAGGCGGGTCGTACCCCGCAAGTAACTGCATGTGTGGCACCAGAGGGAAGCTTCATAGCGTCTGCAAGAAATTCCACGGACGGCCCCAGAGACACTGTTCCAATTCCGCCCCCCACCTACTTTGGCACATCTCTCACACGAGTCGTGGCACACAAGGATCTCCACCTACGGCCCCCGAGGCAGGGTTCGCACTGCGTCCCACCCCCCTGGCCATTACGGCACACCCCATCACGCGGATCGTGCCCACAAGGAGCACCACCTAAAGGCCCAAAGACAAGGTTCGTACAGCGCCCCCCCCGCCCATGTCAGCACACCCGTCACGCGAGTCATGCCCAAGAAGGAGCTCCACCTATGGAACCAATTAGCAGCTTCGCATGGCTTCCCCCCACCCGTTTCGGAACATGCCTCGCATGAGTCGTGCCCGGAGGAGGTCAACCTGCGGCCTCAGTGGGCGTGTGTTCGCTCGGCGGGCGCGGCGGGGCCTTATCGTCTCGTAGCCGGCCCCTCTTAAGCCATCTTGGGTCGTTCTCGGAGCGCGCTTGAGGCGCTGCTCGGGCGACATTTGGGGCCTCCGAAACTCTCCTTGGCACTGCGGCTACCGAGAAAGTACGTGTGCTAAAGTTGTACAACATGAACTGCGTAATCCACGTGTGCTACCTGTTTTGGGGTCTCTCTGGCAGCATGGCGACAAACAAACATGTTTTGTATTGCGAATGTTCACTTAAGACTTGACGTGGTGGCCAGGGTTAGTAACGCACAGAGCAAGACACCAATAATACAACAAGAGGGCGTGAGGCGAGGTGCGACCGCTCCCACGGCTGAGGGAAGCTTTGCCGCGGCACTGCTGAAGGCCCCAAAAAGATTGGAAAAAGGACAGTGCGTCGTTGCCAGTCCGCGGGAGTTCTCACCGCAGCGCTGGCACTTCCTGCGCCTGCCGAAGAGGCCATCGGTCAACGGCATGCCCAACAACAATGTTTAAATGGGATGCAAGTGCTGTCGCGACAGCGGGCGGAGCACGTGCGATCAGGGAGTGCAGGTGTCAGTTCTTCGAAGGAATAACAGCATGTACACATACACATGTATGTATATATGAGAGGCTTCCTGGGAGCTTTTTGGAGGCCTCTTAGGGCCTATTTGGGGTCTCTAGGGGACCTCTGGGGGCCTCTTGGAAAGCCTTTTGGGGGCCTCTTGGGGACTCCTGGGGACATCTAGAGGCGGAGAGCTTCAACTTTCCGTTCGGGAACTCCTTCTGGGCCCCTTCTTGGGGCGTCCTTGGGCACTCTTTGGCCGTCTTGGGGCCCTTTTGAGGGCCGTCTTGGAGCCTCCGTGGGAGCCCCTTGGGTCGTCTTGGGGGGCGTCTCGGGCCGTCTTGGACGCTGCGAAAGCTCAAGAAGTATGGTCAAATATCTTTTGTCGAAAATAACGGGGTCATGTTTGCTTCTTGGGGCTATCTTTAGAGGCTTCTCGGGGGGCTCTTGAGGCGTCTTGGGGGCTTCCTGGCGGTCTTGGAGGCACCGCTGAGACCATCTGAAGCCAGCTTGGCCGTCTTGGAGGGCATTTAAGTCGTCTTGGCGCGGGAAAGGGAGCTCCTGGAGCAAGCACCGCCGTGGGGAAATGAGCCTCCTGGGCCTGGAACGCCGGATACATCTGTATCTAGATCTAAACATATACAAAATATACACACTAGAACCACGCGCGCGTTTCACTCGCGTTGAGGTTCTCGCGCAAGCCCGGGCAACGTCTGTCCACCGCATTGTGGAGGCGAACTTGGAAAGCAGAGTGGCCGGAGGTACGTCTACACAAGGTCCTTTAGAGAACCAGGAAACGTGAGGCCCCGAGGAACACAATTTTTTGTTTCTTGCAATGTCAGTAACACCATGAGCAATGGGGGAAACGCTGGAGCAGGAGGAGGCCGAGGTGGGAACCTCCGAATCAGCCGGATCAGGAGATCAGGAGGGACTCCGAGGATAGTTGGAAAGAAGGGTTCAGAAAGGAAGGGAGGAGGGTCCAGAAGGAGCGTTCAAGAGGAGATTCGTGGAGGAGAGCACAGGATAGACTTGGAGGATTGTTGGCCACTGAGGGTCCAAGGACATTGAGGGCGTATTGGAGGACTCGGAAGGACCTCTTCAGCCGTCTGAGGCTTTCAGAAACTCATAGAAGCGAGAACGTAGACATCAAAGGCAACTTCAAGAACCGGAGGCCCTCTGGGTGGTCTTCTTTGAGCCCTCTCTAGGACTCTTGAAGGCATTATGGGCGCGTCGGCGGCCATCTTTGGGGGGGGACCCCGGCACCCACATGGCAAGCAGCATCTTAGGGCTTCGGTGGGCTTTTCTAGAAACGACCTGAGCTTACAACACAGTTGGGTCATCCACTCCCTGCTCACCATTCTGGGAATCATGCCCCATCATCATCATCATCATCATCATCATCATCATCATCATCATCATCATCATCATCATCATCATCATCATCATCATCATCATCATCATCATCATTATCACGATCATCATCACCACCACCATCAGTATCAACATCAC